ACAACCAGTGACAGCCACAACCAGTGACAGCCACAACCAGTGACAGCCACAACCAGTGACAGCCACAACCAGTGGCAGCCACAACCAGTGGCAGCCACAACCAGTGACAGCCACAACCAGTGACAGCCACAACCAGTGACAGCCACAAAGTTGTGCTTCAAAACATCCCCAAAAATGACTTGGATCAACTTGGCCATTTATTCTTGGACAGAACCACTCCCCTTTGTACTGAGAGATACTGCTTACAATACACCTAGTACTTACAATACACCTAGTACCATTACTCACAACACAGCTACCAAGTACTTACACTACATCTAATACTGGGTGGCCAAATGGTCTAAACTGAGCAAACCTCAAGTTGGTGGTCTGGTGTTCAAGTCCAGCCAAAGGCCAGTCAAGCAAAAACATCACCCCGGGTGGACGAGACTCGTTAACCTTTTGTCCGGCAACTCATCTAAGAGAAGGAAACTCTGAATTCAAACCCGGAGTTGGAGTCCCGTAAGGTGCAAACAATGACAATTCCTGCAACCGAACCCATCCCTGGTCGTCTTGACGTAGAGTCTTGCCTCTGGATATGGTGGGCTCGGACAATAGAGTGAGGTAGACGCCGCGCAACTCTTCTTCACTTTAAACAAAGTAACCCGCCCAAGTCATCAGTCACCAGACGACTCGATGGTCCTCATCGATCCTCGACGGACAAACAATAAATACATGCAATAGACCTAGTACATACAATACACCTAGTACATTCAATAAACCTAGTAGGTCAACATACAGTACACAGAGTAGGCTACATACAATATACCTAGCACTCACAATACACCTAGTAACATTACTTACAATACACCTAGTAGTTACAATACACCTAGTGTATACCTAGTGTATACAATACACCTAGTGTATACAATACACCTAGTGTATACAATACACCTAGTACATTCAATACACCTAGTACATTTAATACACTTAGTAGGCCTACATACAAAACACCTAGTAGTTACAATACATTTAGTACTTACAATACACTTAGTACATACAATACAACTATACGAATGAGAAACTTGCTTTGCTGAAACAACACAAAAAAATTTTAAACTGTTTGTAATTAGCTTTGAACTCTATGCTATGCAGCTTTGAACTCGGTGCTATGCAGCTTTGAACTCAGTGCTATGCAGCTTTGAACTCGGTGCTATGCAGCTTTGAAATGGTTGGAATTTTTAGCTATGAAATAGTTGAAATTCAGTTATGACCTGATTGAATTTTACTTTTCCATATAATTCTTAGAAACTTGATGTTGTTTATTGTGCTGTGTGCAGGTTGGGGGTAATTGGCACAGTTTTAATTTATAATTGATGGTAATTTGATTGAATGTTTTGTTATGATGGTAATTTATTGAATCCTTATGTTATAAGGATAATTTTATAAAAGATTTGTTACGAAGGGTATTCAAATTAATATTTTGTTATTATGGTATTTGATTTAATTTTTTTGTTGTTATGATGGTAATTTGATTGAATATTTTGTTATGATGGTAATTTGATTTAATTTTGTTTAAAAGTCTTTTTGAGTCTTGATCAGTGATACTACCATGAAGGCCTAGCTCAGTTGTTGTCCAATGCCAAAGATGTTCTGAAACATAATTATATAGATTTTGAAATGGCCCTTAATAAATTAAAGCTTAATCACAGATTCACTGAGTATATAAATGTAACCAGTGCGTTACTATATTGTGATGACCCTTCAATATGATATTCCTTCAATTGTGACGTAGTAATAGACCAGGGGTGTTTAAGTACAGAGAGATGGTATAGACCAGGGGTTAGGAACCTATGGCTCGCTGCGAGCCAGATGTGGCTCTATTGATGGCTGCATCTGGCTCGCAGTCAAATGTTCGATTATAAAAAAAAAGTCTCATCGATGGTAAGAAATCGTCATGATTGATGAGCAACAGCAAGACAATGGAATTAAAAAAAGTCTCATCGATGGTAAGAAATAGTCATGATTGATTAGCAACAGCAGGACAATGGGATTAACAAGAATTCAGAGACATAATTATTGCATTTTTAGTGTTGAAATTACACAAAAAGCACACATTTACTTGAATTTGTAGTTTTAAATATAATGTATGGCTCTCACAGGAATTACTTTTCAAAATATGTGGTGTCCATGGCTCTCTCAGACAAAAAGGTTCCCGACCCCTGGTATTGACAATACTTATCTTAAATACGCTTATGTAAAATTAAAGTAGTTCATAAAATATATACTTGATTTATAATTAATGAAATGTGATTGGAAGAATGCAACTTAAACATGCATCTAAGATTTGTACCTTACAACTTTTGTACAATGCACCTTGAAATGTGAGCCTATGTATTTTGTATGTATAGAATAACTATTAGTTGTGCAAACATCTGGATATGTAGGCATATTGCATTTATTACCCACCAGTAAACCACAAAGCCTAGTGTCAGTTGGAATTTCTCTTGAATTTTTAAGAATGTCATTTTGATATGCCAGCCATATATCAGTTAATTGATTTAACAGCCATATATCAGTTAATTGATTTACCAGCCATATATCAGTTAATTGATTTACCAGCCATATATCAGTTAATTGATTTACCAGCCATATATCAGTTAATTGATTTACCAGCCATATATCAGTTAATTGATTTACCAGCCATGTATCAGTTAATTGATTTACCAGCCATATATCAGTTAACTGATTTACCAGTCATATATCAGTTAATTGATTTACCATCCATATATCAGTTAATTGATTTACCAGCCATATATCAGTTAATTGATTTACCAGTCATATATCAGTTAATTGATTTACCAGCCATATATCAGTTAATTGATTTACCAGCCATATATCAGTTAATTGATTTACCAGCCATATATCAGTTAATTGATTTACCAGCCATATATCAGTTAATTGATTTACCAGCCATATATCAGTTAATTGATTTACCAGCCATATATCAGTTAATTGATTTACCAGCCATATATCAGTTAATTGATTTACCAGCCATATATCAGTTAATTGATTTACCAGCCATATATCAGTTAATTGATTTACCAGCCATATATCAGTTAATTGATTTACCAGCCATATATCAGTTAATTGATTTACCAGCCATATATCAGTTAGTTCAATTTTTGAGCTGTTTTCTTTTTGTCTCAGAATTTTTCTCAATAAATAATAATTGAATTGACTGCCTTTCACTTCACTTCCGTTGTTTTGTTGCATGGTGTGGTACAAGTGTTTGACAGCCGTCTTGTGGTACAAGTGTTTGACAGCAGTCTTGTGGTACAAGTGTTTGACAGCCATCTTGTGGTAAAGTGTTTGACAGCAGACTTGCGGTACAAGTGTTCGTCAGCAGTCTTGTGGTAAAGTGTTTGACAGCTGTCTTGTGGTACAAGTGTTTGACAGCAGTCTTGTGGTACAAGTGTTTGACAGCAGTCTTGTGGTACAAGTGTTTGACAGCAGTCTTGTGGTACAAGTGTTTGACAGCAGTCTTGTGGTAAAGTGTTTGACAGCAGTCTTGTGGTACAAGTGTTTGACAGCAGTCTTCTGGTACAAGTGTTTGACAGCATTCTTGTGGTACAAGTTTTTGACAGCGGTCTTGTGGTAACAAGTGTTTGACAGCATTCTTGTGGTACAAGTGTTTGACAGCGGTCTTGTGGTACAAGTGTTTGACAGCCGTCTTGTGGTACAAGTGTTTGACAGCCGTCTTGTGGTACAAGTGTTTGACAGCAGTCTTCTGGTACAAGTGTTTGACAGCATTCTTGTGGTACAAGTTTTTGACAGCGGTCTTGTGGTAACAAGTGTTTGACAGCATTCTTGTGGTACAAGTGTTTGACAGCGGTCTTGTGGTACAAGTGTTTGACAGCAGTCTTGTGGTACAAGTGTTTGACAGCAGTCTTATGGTACAAGTGTTTGACAGCAGTCTTGTGGTACAAGTGTTCATCAGCAGTCTTGTGGATAAGTGTTTGACAGCAGTCTTGTGGTACAAGTGTTCGTCAGCAGTCTTGTGGTACAAGTGTTTGACAGCAGTGTTGGAAACAGGTGAGCTTTGGGAGAAATGTGCACTAAATGAACTTAGTGCAACACCAGCAATAAAATAGTTGGAGTACAACAAAACAAGCTTTACATTTGTTCCACTATTTACCTTGAACTGTGTAAAGGCCTTCGGTCCGCCTCAAATGTGTTACATTAGCTGCGTTTTGGTTTTTTTTTTTGGCTTGGTTGGGGGGGGGGGGGGGGTGTTGCTTTTACTCTTAGCTTGATAATTTTGATACTTAGGCATTTCCCCCTCCATGTGAAACATACGTTAAAACCTAGCGGTGTTGAGCTTTTGAAATGGCCAAGTTGGGAGGGGGTGTGGCAGATGTGATAGTATTTTTAATTAAAAAATACAAGACCTAGACTTGTGCCTATTTATGCTTTACGTTAATTCACAAGAATAAACCAAGCGAAATGTGCTGACTGGTAGACACGCTGCTTGCAATTAAAATAAAAGAACAAATTATGTCATGTTGCTCTATTCCAGTCTACATTTTTATACAGAGCCGTCGCGTGCGCCCTGCAACCCAGCACCTCCGCAACCCAGCTCGTCTACGACTGCAGGGGTCCTCTGAGATTAAGGGGTCCAAATTTGCGATGTGGGAATTAACACTGTCAACCTTGAATGTGGGGGGGAAAAAAAAGGGGGGGGGGCACCAAAAAATATCAAAAGTGGGAGGGGCCTCCATAAGTCACGTGACAGCTGTTTCAAGGGTCAATTTGAATTTTTATTGGTACGTAACTGACTGATCCCGAGGTGGACACGGGGCGTTGGTCACGTGACATCTCAACAACACATCTACACGCTTTAGAAACGCAGACATGAAATGTGTGTTATCTATCACGCAGGATAATGACATAGAGTCTAATTAGCGGCAAGTAGTAATAGCCTTTCAAAAAGTAGTCATAGTATGAGTCGAACTCTGTAACAGCAGGTAGCGACAGTATGCAATAGGCCTACTGCTATCACCATTACTATTACACATTACACATTATTATTGTCCATCTAGATTTTCCCGCCAAGCCTCCTTTAATTCTGCTAACAACACAACTCTAGAAACTCTGTCAAGCGATCCATTGCAAGCATTATTTTCTATCACACCAGCCAAGGTCAAGCACGGCGTGCCTAGGAGGGACCATAACGTACAGTTTTCTTGACCATGGATGTGAAGCTGGTTGGGTTTGGTTATCCTCTGCTGGACATCATCATTGACGGCTCGCCTGAGCTGTTGAACAGGTAAAAACTTTTAACGTTGTGAATTAAGAAATTTTTCTGAGTGTGGCGGGGAGGAGTGGCGGTCGCAGTGTCATACAGTCATGACTAGCACGGCCTAATAGACCTACTTTACAATAAAATCATGGTCATTGGCATTGGTCGGCTTGATGCACATAACTCTGCTAAAACACTTTTGTATTTAATCTCCTTTCATATTTGAAAGTCCAAACATCACCGAGATGTTATTTTTATCATCCTCAACAGGCTTAGAAGTATAAATAAGTGTAAAAGTATAACTAAGTCTTAGTTAATTACAAGAATTAATAAATGAGTACAAGTTATAAATTAACTAAGTTCAAGAAGTAAAAATAAGTAGGTAATTGGGCCTACAAATATTGTTAGTAAGTGTAACCTACAAAAAGTATAAATAAGTAACCCATGCCTTTAGTATAATGGAGTCATAGACCCTCTGTAATGTTTATATAAAGTTGGCTGTATTATATATGCTGCAGTTAATTTCCAGCATTAAAAAAATCATCTAAATCTAGGATTAAAACATCACAGACAGTCAATGCAGTTTAAAAGTGAGATATTGTAGCACACATGTCTGCAAGGCTTACATTAGCCAACTTTTACTAGCAAACTCTTACACTCTTTTCATCACATATCATTGCCAAATTATATGAGATAAACTGATAAACATAAAACTGACAACTTTCCAGATACGGCCTGATACCAAATGGACAAGTCCAGGCCTCTGGCGACCTCATTAAGATGTAAGCATTTGAACCTGCATACAAAATTCTTCTTTGAACTTGAACATCTTTGTTTTAATCCATGATTTCTGAAATTATTTTTTTCACTTCAAAATTACATTTCCTGGCTGCAATTTATGCATGGGCAACCGTAGAAAACTTTCCATGGGGGGGCCGGCAAAAAAATCAATTAACTTCCGGGGGGGGGGGGNGGACATCAGCTTAGTTACTTTCTCTTTATTTTCTCTTTGCTTTAATACATTTTTTGTCTAAAAAAATTTTTATCCAATCAATCCAGGGGGGGGGGAGGGGAGGGGGGGGGGCAAGCTACCTGGGGGCACCCATGCATTTTTGGATAGTCGTATTACAATAATTATATTTTCCAGGTGGTCTCGAAGCAGGTGGGATAGCCCCTTTTTGTCTAGAATTCCAGTGTAATTTAGCCATATTAGTATTGAAGTTTATGGGGGTAAGCCCTATTCAGGGGTGTAGCTCCAGTGTTTGACACCCTGGAAAAGATTCATTTTTTACGCCTCACCCAACTCTTTAATCCATTATTTTTATCAATAAAATGGTCAAAGCCCATTTAATCTAGCACCCGGGGACATCAATACCCTCTGCCCCTTTTACTTGAAATAGGTGGGGTAAGCCCTGTTAGTCTTGAAATAGTTGGGGTAAGCCCCCTTAGTCTTGAAATAGATGGGCGTTAGACCTATTAGTCTTTTAAGAACAAGCCTAAGGTGTGTAAAGATCATATAGTCCTAATTTCACAGATTTAATTATGTCCAGATGACCTATGGGGACTCTATTCAGTATGTGCCGGGGGGAGCTGCAATCAATGCCGTCAAAGTAGCTCAGGTAGGACTATGACATTTAGATCAAAGCAGCTCAGGTAGGCTACAGGAAAATGACATTTAGATCAAAGTAGGTCAAGGAGTCTAACATTGTTATAAATTTTTATGTCGGGCAGATGAGCCTCATTGAATGTTTTTGAATGAAAAAATATACATGTTAGTTAGATATTTGTTTGGGTTTGGGGCGGGGCGGTTGAGGCATAAAGTAAGCTTGTGTCATTACCAGAGTTCACATCCCAGGAAAAATTCAAAAGGTATTTAAATTAACTGTTGCTGTCTTCCTGCCCCGCTCCTCTTCATACCCCAAACCTTCTTAAAAACCCAACATTCATTAAACATTCATTATCTCTCAACATTCTTCCTACCACAACCCATTTGAAACTCTACATACCCTGTCTTATTCATCATCAGTCCTGTTTACTCTTATGATTTTGGCGTACAATGTACGATTTTAAGATGTATACATTATATATACTGTATGTTTATTTTTTACTATCAAGATAATGTATTCAGCTATAATGTACTGAACGATTTTGTGATGATATTGTACGATTTTAAGAGTTTAAGGGTAAACAGGTCTGCATCATTCAAGCCGTTCTTACACATCCCCAATCTTCCTCCAGCCGTATTTATAATCCGGCCTGATTTATTTCTCGGCCAAATTTATACCCCAAACCCATTATACCCCAGCCTTATTCATACCCATCCTTATTAATACATCTTCCCACTTCTCACTCCGGCCCCATTCATACCCCTCAACTATTCATATCTCACTTCTAATCATACACCAGCCCCATTCATGGCCCAGCCGTAATGATACCCTAGTGGGCTCCAGCCACATTCATACCTATGCCATATTTATACCCCAGCCCACTTTATAACCAAGTCCCATTAATACCCCACCGCAGCAAAATGTGTACAATAAAACGAAAATTATATTTTCAAATTGTCATATTTTGATCTTCAAGCGTATCACCAAATAACCAATACATGTTTTTTTTTCTATCATTACTAATTTCCTAAATCTTGAAAATAATAATTGTGTATTTCAAAATGACTTAGAAACCTGGCTAAGGTGTCTCCAAATGGAGCAGCATCTTTTCCCAGTCAACAAATCCACACTCTACATGCACCTGTGGCATTCAAGGGAACACTCAAGTGTTTGAAGTGTAATACTATAAAATAAAATATTTATTGCTTTAACACCAAACTCTCAAATAAAAAAATAACTTTCCCCTTCCCCATGCCTTGTTTTCACATTCAAGTGGTGTATAGGTAAAGATGATTGTACTGCAGTCATTGGTTGTCTTAATGATGAAGATGACTTTGGGCAGATTCTACAGAGGGAAATGATGCGATCCCGGGTCAAGTGTTACTTTCAAAAGGAGAGGACAGCATCAACAGGAACTTGTTTGGTAATCTGTACAGATCAAAATAGGTTTGTTCTCTTGCCATAACGTTCTCATTTTTTTAGCAAAGTAGGTCAATATTAAATTCGTACTTTTCATGATGGTGATGGTAGTTACTTCACATAAATCATTTTAATATTTAAACTAATATCACATTTCATCTTACAAATGTTAACATTTTTAATATAACATTTCATTTAAAAAAATTATATCTATTAAACCAATCAGGTCGCTAGTTACTACAGCTGGAGCTGCTAAATTATTTTCAACAAAATATTTTGAAGAATTGGAAATACAATCAGTTCTGAATTGTGCCCAGCATTTGTATTGTACGGTAATAAAAAATTTTTAAAAGTCTAATTTAGTGACTTTGTCAGCTTTTTGCCATGAAAAAAAACTAAAACAATCTAAACATGTCCAAGGCCTTTAAATGTGTTCATTTCAGTATAACAATCTGTGTTAACAGTTTTCTGACTATCCTCCACACCAGGCCTGCACAACTCAAAATGTAAGGGGGGCGGGCCGTAATACTTTATGAAAACCTTGTGCGGGCCAAAAGAAAATAGGACATGTCTTGTTATTATATGGCATCCTTCCGTCTTCGTGAGACCATGGACTAGCTATATAGTTCTACACTTTGACGAGTGGCTCACTATGCCAATCCTAGAATGGCAATCACGGCTGCATCTCGCTGGAGAATATTGAATCCCGGTAAATTCTTGATTTCCGAATTGTTCTTTTTGATTCAAGGGCCTCGTTTCGAGTATCTTCTGCCTTTTTAACTCCTTCAAACACTGCTGTTGGCCAGTTGGAGCGATGTTCGGCAATGAACTCCCATTCGTTTGTTTCAATATTGGCTTCCCTCATGCTTCGTTTGCAAACGTCAATAAATCTCAGGCGCGGTCGTCCAATATGTTTTGTCCCCTCTGCCAACTCTCCATACAGCAGTATCTTTGGGATACGTCCTTCCTCCATTCTCCGTACATGACCTAACCAGCGAAGGCGTCTCTTGATAAAAAAGGAGAATATGCTAAACATGTGTGCACGTTCCAAAAACTTCAACTTTGGCAACCTGTCCTGTCAACGAATGCGCAAAATGCGACGCAGACATCTTTGATGGAAGCTGTTGAGTTTCTGCTCGTGACTGGTATATGTGGTCCACACTTCGCTACCATATAGGAGCGTGCTAAGCACATATGCCTGATAGACACTTATTTGTGCAGGCCAAAGAATATAGGACAGGGGGAAAGCTATTAAGAAAATAATATAATATTAATTCCTTGATATGGACCATCTCAATCCATTGTGGAAAAATAAAAGTGTAACATTCTATTTTTTTTATAAAGCATTTTTTTTTTAAAATGAGTTCTTGTAAAGGCTTTCCTCTGAATACAAATAATAAGTGAAGTGTTTTTGAGTGCCACAGTTTTATTACTTCATGAAATAGATCATTGAAGGAATCTTCATCTAAGCCTACATGCTTCATCTAAGCCTACAATCTTCATCTAATCCTAGTCAAAATGAGTTCAAAAATGAGAGATGAGGACCTCTGGTCTATAAAGTCATAAAGTATTACAATATGAGTTGTGCAGGCCTGAGCTAGATGGCTGTCTATAGACCAGGGGTCCTCAAACAGCAGCCCAGTGACCAGATACATCCTGGTGGTCCATAATACGGCTCACCTGGCCATTTTTCGGCTACTCGGGTAGCAGTGACAAATTTAGAACGGACATTGACCATTGAAATACTAATTACTTCATGTGGATTAAAATTGTTCTTCATTGTAATTATTGCAATGTGTTTTCCTGTTTGTTGCACTACAAATAAGATATGTGGAGTGTGCATAGTAGGAATATAATAATATTTTTTCATATTGAACCAACACCTCACCCCTCTCCCCACCCAATGTCTTGGGGGGGGGGGGCACGGTGCAGTCAACACACACACCCCCACCCCGCCAATAAAAAGTTTGAGAACCTCTGCTGTAGACTGTTGCTGTTTTTTAAATCATAAAATGCACCTTTTTTATTTTATATTATTTAAGCTTTAGATCCAGCTGTAATGTTTAGAGAAAGAAATACTGCTTTCTTAAATCAATTTATTTCAATACATTATTTAATTTAGATTCATTAACTGGGCATTTTGAGCAGATTGTTTTTGGCCAAGTTCTGCTCCAGGCATATTGTAATCTCCGCTCCGAGATCAGGTCAAGAAGAATAGAGCAGCATAGCTGATGCAAGAGTGGGGGCAACCTAGATGTAGAAGAGCGGGGGCAACTTAGATGTAGAAGAGCGGGGGCAACTTAGATGTAGAAGAGTGGGGGCAACTTAGATGTAGAAGAGTGGGGACACTTAGTTGTAGAAGAGTGGGGGCAACTTAGTTGTAGAATACTGGGGTAGCTAAGATGTAGAAGAGTACAAAATTTTACCAACTCTGGGTAAAAAGACCTTGCTCCTGAGCTTCATTCCAAATCCCTGTCATGAACTATGTTGTTCCTTTGTTCGCTTTTATCATATTAAATGAGATATATAATAACCCCAAAAAATATAGGCCTACACCATATCTTGAAACTTTTTCATTACAATTTTTTTCAGGGATTTTCTTTGATAGATTGCTCTCAAGGTGTAGATGTGCTGGCCCATTTGGCAACTAAAAATTCTGGTCAGATTTTTGCATTTAATCTGGCAGCTGTTTTCATAAGCCAACAATTTTCAGAGAATATAAAAAGGCTACTACCTTTTATTGATATATTGTTTGGAAATGAAATGGTAAGTCCTGGATATGTCAGTGGTATTTTTGTCTTTCATTTAGTTGTATCTGCTTCTGTTCCAATAGATAAGTTTGAAAACATAATTCCCAATTTTCTTGGACTCATAGATACCGGTATTTTGAAATATTTTGTTTTTAAAGGTGTGACCTGAAAGGAATAGGAGACATTTTATCAATACAGACCAAGAAGAGATTAATGTTTAGGGAAGAAGCTCATCATGCCATCTTTATCTTTTACATTTTAATTTTGAAGTTGAAACTTTAAAGTTTATTCAATTCCAGAACTTTTTCAGATAAAATGATGCACTCACAACCAATGAGTTGCATCAAGATAGTGTTCTAATATCTAAAATCCTCATCCACAGGAAGCTGATGCTCTTATTAGTCAATGTGGATACAAGGTATTTCCCAGATGAGTTAACCAAAAAAACCAGTTTTTTAAAATTAAAAAGTCCATACGCCTTTTTTCAATCCAAGAAATGAAAAAATCATTTTTTAAAATTTGGAATCCTACAAATTTCTTGAATTTAAATGTGATCTAGATAACCTATGATTGTGAAATTTTTAGTGTGGATTTTTATTTATGGAGGGAGTATATCATTTTAATATACATAATCTTAATTTAATCTTATGATGAAGCAATAAATATTAAATTATAAAAATCATTTCAGATCAATTCTATGCAAGAGATTGCACTTTTTTTGTGTAATTGGGAGACAAAAAAATGTAATGGTCATTCACGAATTGTGGTCATTACAAGGGGTCCCAGTACAAGCATTCTGGCCCAAGGTCAGTTCTTTAAAATATATCAAGCTGCATTTTCTGTCAATGGTCAAGTTAAGAATGAACTGAGCATTTTAATATGAAACATTTTTGTTTCTAAACCAGTAAATTGTTCTAGTGTATATATAGGCTAAACATTAATTATAACAGACTTACTTGTTTTTTTAGCCTTTGTTATTGCTATAACATCAAAAGATGATTGGGGGGGGGGGCGCCACGACAACCATATTGTCTCAGGGTTAATATGATGTAAAAATATCACCTCCCCAGAAGGCAAAGTCTTTGAGTTTCCAGTTGTGGATGTTACTGCTGACCAGATCATTGACACCAATGGAGCTGGTGATGCATTTGTTGGAGGTTAACATTCAAATAGCACCCTTATACTCTAGTTATAGCTGTTGATGCATTTGTTGGAGGTTAACATTCCAATATCACCCTCATAGTGATTTTTTCCTTCCAAGATAGGAAGTGGAGGTTGGGGATGTAAACCTATGTCTGATAATATTAACGTTTTTTTAATGAGATTTTAAAAAACACTTAAGTTAAACATTCAAGGAAAGTTGATTTTTTTAAATAAAATTATTGGGTTTAAGTTTAAATAGTTTTATTATGCAAATAAACCATGCGTTCTTTCTTAAGATATTTTACTGTAAAATGCAAAATTTGTATTGTTAAATGGATAATAATATAACATTTGTTATATTTTGAGCTTTTATTAATCGTTTACAGGATTTCTAGCCAGTCTAATAAAAGGTGAAAGCTCAAGTGATGCCATGAAGGCAGGCCACACTGCAGCCCATGTTATTTTGAAACAGAGAGGATGTAGTCTTCCTAACAATTAGTGATGGACTGTGTACAAAATCATTAGACCTACTTGGAGATGTAATAAAATAATTCCATACGGGGAAAGCTTTTGTTAGACACTTTAGTCATTTATGGAATTTAGTGACATAAATTTCCATCAGATGTATCCTTTTATTATATTATTACCTTGGTTGTGTATACCTTGAATTAAGCTGGAGCTTCCTTTTTCTGTACATTATGCTCCATTTACCCCTATGAGGTAAAGTGTGGTATATTTTACCCCTGTGAGGTAAAGTGTGGTATATTTTACCCCTATGAGGTTAAGTGGTATATTTTACCCCTGTGAGGTAATGTGGTATGATGGTATATTCTACACCTATGAGGTAAATTGTGGTACATTTACCCCTGAGGTAAAGTGTGGTACATTTTACCCCTATGAGGTAGATTGTGGTATATTTTACCCCAATGAGATTAAAGTGACTATTCCCATATAAGAAAAATTTCCATTTACCTGTAGGGTATACTTTTGTCCATTCATACATTTGAAGGTGAGGTGAATGTTTCAATTCATCCCATCATCTGTGCAATTTGTCCACTCAGTATAACAAATAAATTCAGAGGGAAAGTGGAAATAATTTATTGGGAATAATAATTGAATTCCAGCTAGCAAAAGTTGTGACACTTGACAATATTATTGGATGAATAGCACAATTAAATAGAGAGTGCTTTTCTGTGTGATGTGTTGGGGGAAAGGGGGAACAGTTATCAATGGGACAATCATTGAGTGGAAATGTTAATTTACAAGGTTACATTATATTATATACACTTATGTTACAAGATCTCAACACTAGGCAATTTTTGTTTCACACATAATTTTCCCAAATTTTACATGAACCATATCAACTTAATATAAACACAATTTTTTGTAACCATGAAAATCACAGTTTTTTAAATATTAACTTTGAATAATTCCTTAAAAATAACACATTTTCTATAACACATTTTCTATAACACATTCATGGCTCACGCATTAAATATAAACCATACCAATCGCATACTCGCCAAAAAGGATAACTGCAGAACAGTGTAGTTGACCACAATTTAAAACCACAGAGCAAGCTTATAGTTCCCATGCTATATACAATGGTCTAAGTCTGCCACTCTTACTATTTACAATGTTAGACCTGTTCATGTCAGTATCATACACACTAGACAGGGTTGCCGACCATATTAAAGTCATATAGACATTTAGTCGTTTGAAATAATTTTTTTAGCGCCATAGATTAAAAAATGTTATAAAAATGTCTATATGAAAAACAATTTTTGACCATAAAAAATGTGGAGACTAAGAATATTTTTCCATAAATTTGAATTTCTTTTGGGTCGGCAACCCTGATCATGTCAGTTCTGCTTGCCATGAGTTCCATTTTAAGCCCAAACTGATAACAAGTGTGCAGCTTCATCTGTATGTAGTCATATCTAAAAAAACAAAAAGTGTGCAGCTTCATCTGTTTATTTGTAGTCCTAACTAAATGATTTGACTTCACTTAGCTTAAGAAGAAGACCTTGAGCAATAACTCAGTAAGGTTCTAAATGCATTCAATCAAAGTTTGACATGCTACAACATTGGAAGCAACTGCTTTTAAAGCACATTCGTTAAACTGTCAAGGATTTTTAGAATGGCTACTGTACCTCCGACATTACCAGCTAAAATACTGAGTTGTCCCATAGAATGGCTACTGTACCTCTATGACATTTCCAGCTAATATACTGTCTCCTGTACCCATAAAACTGCACAAATTCTGAAATACTTTTTGGATTAGATATTAAACAACTAAAAACATTAAATTTACTAATGCCCGCAGGTAACAATATTAATCACAAATACAATTAACTCGTGGCTCAGCAATACAGACCCCAAAATGATGAACATTTATGAAATATAGGTTAAATAGGTCTGTGTGAATAGATACATAGTGTATAACATAACAATGAATTATAGCTATAATTTTATTGAACAAACACAAGTGATTGTTAGTTTTACAACACAGCTACCAGATCAACAAAATAGTGTCCATATTTCAGGAGTAATTTTCATTCATGTCACAATGTCAGAAAAAACATTTGCAGAGAACTGTCAAATCAGTTACTGACCAAGTACTGTCAGGTCAGTTGATCATGTACCGTTAGATCTAATAATTCAGATGATAGAGTAATTACACACAGACATTGAGATTTTAGAATACACCGCCTCATCATGTTAAGAGCATCCTACTGTAAAATATATTTGAAATATATTGGTTATCAAAAATTTTCAACTTAGTTTGAGTGTGAAACAAATGTAGTGCTTCATTTAAACCAGGGCTGGAAAACCTTTCAAGTGTGCTTGTGGAAAATCAAAGAATGTAATCTAATCGATGAGCTGTGCATTCTTTATATTGCTATGGCTTGGAATGAGGTTATAGGGGCAGTGCACATATATAACCCCGAAATAAGTCCAAAATCAAGCAAAAAGTCAGAAATTGCTTTTTTTACAAAAAATGTGCAAATTATTGAAAGCAAAAAATACATTTCCAGTTTTTAATAATCTATACTAGTTTTGTAAATTTGAAAAGCAGAAATTTAGCAAAAATAAGAATTAATCCATAAATAATAAGTATTGTTACATACTGGTAACACTTTTTCTCTACTTCAAACCCCCCCCCCCCCCATCATAAAATGATAAACCATCCTCAACCTTCTTTACAGTATTTCAGTATATCATAGTATATATGTGCACAGTCTCTTAGGATGTTCAGTTTCATTTTATTTTTATTCATTAAATATAACTGCTGTCAATCCTAGGTTTATTGCATTGTTAATTTGTATTGCTGCAGGGGGTTCTTAAGCTCTTTTGTTCTTGAACCCCTCAGCCAGTCAGAGGAAGGCCAAGGTCTCATCTAAATATAGTTTTAAAGGCATACAATATAACTACAAAGGAAATGCCCCTCACAGGACACCACCCACCCCAAATGAAATTGGGCTTGATAAAGTTAAAACATACAAATTGGCTAAGTTATTTATTATTGAATAATTTTGAAGGGTAAAACTGATATCATGCCTGTGGTTGCCCATACCTGATCTATACAAACTTTCCAAAACCACTTGGTGATGACATCAGTCATCTTTTATAGAAATTGTCTTATTCTTATTGATATTGGTAACACTAATGTGCTTGAAGCATTCAAATATGTTAAAAGAACATTTTGTAGATTCAAGGGCACAAATAGAATCATTTCTGGGTTATCAAGTTAACAGAATCTATGATGGATCAATCCATTTTTGTAAACAAAATAGTAAATACATGATTTTTAACTAGAATTGGAAGAGACCAAAAAAAATGTGACTGCTCCACAAATCAAATTTGATGAAATACCATGTGGAGTATCCCCAAGTTAGAGATGTCAGAAATCCTCTCACTAACACAGTGGATGTATCTATTGAAGGAAGACAGTTTGTTTTAAGATAGCGTGCCTTGACAATCACAGAGACTATGACAAGAAATTCTTTTTTTTTTTAGTTGAAAACAGTAGACTCAATTTTCAGCTTATAATAATGTAAGTGATGTAGTTATGTTTTTTTTATGTTGCTAAAGACTTTTTCAATATACATCATTGATAAGCCAAAATAATCAACAAGCTGACAATTTCTAAAGAATCAATAAGCTGACAGTTTCTAAAGAATCAACAAGTTGATAGTTTCTAAAGAATCATCAATCTTGACAGTTTCACCAGAAGGGACTTTAAAATGGCTTATCGAGAGAATGGGGACCAAGCAATTATGCAATTTGACTAAAATAGTTGATTGGAAACAGTATGGTAGATATTACTTTAAAAGGCACTGGCTGTCAGTGTTGGCTGTCACAACTTTATGGCAACAACATACTGGTACCGGGTACAGAAATAGATTTGGGTTATGTTCGATTGGTGAAAACTAATGAAATGTTGAATAAGTGATTGATACTAGTGAACTGTAATAAATTATCAGTGAGTAAAAAAACTGCAACAAAGCCAATCGTTAACACCTGTTGTTTCTTTAAACTAACCAAACCAATAATAATTGACCTAGTCCCTTACTAAAATAGGACAATATGGAAACTTATTCAGTTGGGGCAAAGTTTTCACCGACTTAAGTACCATTTTTAAGTACCTTTAAGTATTATTTTGTAATGGTAATCATCAAGTATGGGTACAAAATATGAGAGGCCTATAGATTAAGATAAATCATGTACTGCTACTGAAAGACACACTTCATGGAGCTCTTCATACATGATCAGAATGTACTGCTACTTAAAGACACACTTCATGAAGCTCTTCAACCATGGACAGAACTTTCTGCTAATGCCTTACTCATATGCTTTGCAATGTAGTTAAATTGGAATCATAATGCTGCTGGTTTTTTCCTCTTATTACAAATAATTGCTTATGCCAGTGATTCCTAGAATTGTTCTATTCTCGGCGCCTGTGCTGAAAAAAGGTTTTTCACAGGCACCCATGTCAAAATTCTTGACTAATACACTGCATGTCAAGATATCTGCATGGCTAGATAAAAATAAATTTTTACTATTTAAGATCTCTAAGTGCAATATGGTAATAACTGCAAACAATTCATACCAGGTGAGTTGGTGGTTTCACCAGATGTCTTAACCTATTAAATTGACAATGAAAATAATTGTGCAACATTTTGCGTCGCCCCCGTGATGGAAGCTGTGGCTCCCTAGAAGTCTGGAAAGCACCACACACACACACACTTTTAAATAGTTGTTGATTTTTAAGCTTGCATTAATCAATCAATTTAAAAATCAACTGAAAACAAACTGAACATTTACAATGGAATGATTGGTTTGTAAAAAAAATTACCTTTATGTACCGACTTACACAAAAACATTTTGATCATTGGTGCTGCATCTAAAAATCTATTGCATTATTGCACATATTAAACTATTTGAAATTAATGAAACTGTGAATGATAATGAATACAACACGTATCAACTATTATCTTTATGAACAGAACTTATTTAACAAGCGTTTGCCAATTCACTACCGTGGTAGAGAGGGAGGGG